AACATGGATGCACCCCCGGCACCCCCATTCCGACCCTCGGTGAGAGACCTCCCCTGCCCTGACACACACGGAGATGCTCCGTCACTCGCTCACGAACACGTGGAGCTGCGTTCATGTGGGCACCTCTACTCACAGATTCACACCCCCCGGATTCACACTCTCCTGACAGAGGGACTGAGATGCGCGTACTCACGCTGGATGCACCCCCGGCACCCCCATTCCGACCCTCGGTGAGAGACCTCCCCTGCCCTGACACACACGGAGATGCTCCGTCACTCGCTCACGAACACGTGGAGCTGCGTTCATGTGGGCACCTCTACTCACAGATTCACACCCCCCGGATTCACACTCTCCTGACAGAGGGACTGAGATGCGCGTACTCACGCCGTCTTGCTGATCTGTCCTGTGTGCCTCGTGCCCTGGCCAGCCAGCTGCTGTGTTGAGTTGTGCCATGCTGGGCTCTGCAGAACAGGGGACCAGTGCAGGTACCCTGAATTTCCTAAATACACCAAGGTGCCTTTGTTCTCTGAGAAGATGTGGGGTCAAGTGGGTAAGACGGGGAGCCCTCATTCCTTTCCCAGTGAGGGAGCTAGAACTCCTCATTCATGGCTCTCAGATCCCCACAAGCCACCTGCCCCTATTCCTCTCCCAGAGCCAGAGGGAACCCAGGAGTCCTGGCTCCCAGCCCCTCCCCACCCCATCTCACTCTGTTCCCCACTCACAGCAGGGCTTCCTGAGCCGGCGATTGAAGAGCTCCATCAAACGGACAAAGAGCCAGCCCAAACTGGACCGGACCAGCAGCTTCCGCCAGATCCTGCCCCGGTTCCGGAGTGCCGACCATGACAGGTGAGAGTCCTGCCCCGGTCCATACGAGGGATGTTAAATGTCGGTTAATGGAATAGTCAGGTAACCTCATGAATTATCGGTTAGCCAACAATTCTGTAGTCCCTGGGGGCGGGGCCAGCAGTCAGTGCGCTCTGGCCTCACTCCCAAGAAGACCCCTGCCGCTCTGCACTGCAGCATCACAGGGTGCCAATTGGGAGCTGGTCTGCAAGGGGAGACAATTTAAAACCCAGCTCTCCTTGTGGACCTGTGCTATCACTCTGTGCTGCTGCCTCTGATAAAGAGGCAGTGGTGCAGGGTGGCTGCAGCCCCTGCCTAGAGGGGTGGTCTGAGCTCCCAGATCTGGCATGAGCTGGGCTGCCGGCCAGCCTGCTAAAAAATGTACTGGCAAGGAGATGGGGGAAATGCGTGTAGTCTATAGCATTAACCAATAAGCTTTTGCTTATCGGTTAATCAGTTAATACACTACACTTGTACATCCCTAGTCCACATCCCACCTCACGCACCGCTGCAGCTTCAAGCAGAAGCCCAGTCTGGGGCCCCCAGCTCCAGGCACACGTAAGGTCATCTCTCTCTTCCTCATGGGAGCAGCTGCCCCACACCAGAAGCAGCGGCATCTCAAAAGATTCCTGTATTAACAGACCCAGCAAGCATATCTGTAGCAGGCGTGATGGGCAGACAGCTGCAAGGCTTTGTTAATAACTCTTTGGTTTGGCCTCGATTGGGGACTGTCCCTCCAGTCTGTTCTCTGGGGCTGGCAGAAGAGGAATCTGCGTCTTGCCCTCCTGCCACCTCTCTGGAGCTGCTTGTATCCCTTCCAGAGCTGTGCTGTTCTGGGGAGAGCATGCAGGGTGAGCTGGGCCTATGGAAGGAAGGAGTGTGAGGAGGGAAGAGAAGTGGGAGCAGTGACCTGGCCACACCCAAGGGTTGGAAGGATGCAGAGATAGATGGTGTGCAAGGAGGAAAGAGGAGTGGAAGGTAGTGGGCATTGGGGGGAGGGGGCAGCTGGCCAGGGGGAGTGGGATACAGGAGGTGAGGGAGCTGGGGGCGGGGATGAGAATAAGGAAGCTGTGCAGAAAGGGAGCCAGGGGGATGAGA